TTAGTGAATTAGAGAAATGGGATTTGGAGGTGAGGACTATCTTTGGACTTTCGATCCCGGCACCCGACTCTGACTGACTGCTACGCCGGTCACTACTGCTACTGAGCTTTTGTATATGACCCCCGCCTTTAGGAGGAGATCTGAATGGTAGTGATGCCATCTGAGATGCTTTCCTTTTGGGAAAGAAAGGTTTCGTTCCTGGAGTGTCTCAGGTAAAGGATTATTTGGACAAAAAATTATCACTGGCTGGCAGCCTGGTCGGTCGGACGTGACACAATCAAAACATACGCGGAACGCATAGCGGATCTAGTAAGATTTTGTCTTCCGCGTTTCCGCTTTTCATGTAATGACACCCTGATTTTTATTTGCAGCTGCTTTTTTTCGCATAAATAGCACTTTCGGATGCTCATGTTTATAGCATATAGTATATACAACCTATTACATGCAACTTTGTACAATATATTTTATTTTCCCATTGGCGAATACGATCTATCTGACGCATGCGCATAACGTTCCTAATACACTCAGAAAAAGAGACAAATACATATTTCCGCACCGTGATTCTGGGACCGGACTTCTCTCTCATTTAGCAATATAGGTTGCGTTCCAAAACGTCCTTTTTGAGGAAATTTTACTCAATACTTTATAATATATGTAACGTGAACTATAAGTATTGAGTAAAATTTTCCTCAAAAAGAACGTTTTGGAATGCAACCAAAGTAGTATTAAATATATGGAAATCAGGCTGGTGGCCGCTCATGCTTCTCTCTGATACAATTGACATCGCCACATCGACACGCAGAAATCCAATCGATTCAATAAATATAATACTGGATCAAAATTGACCCAATTAAAATACCAAGAGTTACTTTATCTTACATTAGATTAACATGAAATTATTGTGTTATATAATAAAAATTTTAACTTTAATTATAAATATTAAAATTCTCTTCACACACATACACAAAGTTCCATTATATAGTATGAATATAAATAAAATTTTTTATAAAAAATCACACGTTTGTCGTTTCTGTTTATTATAAAGCAATTATAGGTACCTTATAGATTTATATTCATATAAAAGAATGGATATAAAACACCACACATGAGAAATATATGGCAGTAACGTTACATTTAACTGTAGTATGTACTTAATAATAAACTTAAAAATCTATATTATAATGTATTATTTATGATATTATCTTTTAATATAATTATAGTGTATTATTTATGCTTATCAATAAATTGACGTCTATGATTGTTACATAGTAGCCTAAATATTACATAGTAGCCTAAAAATTTATTTATAGTTTCTTTGTAAACAATCTGTATTTTTTTTGTAATGATAAAATGTTCTGAATAAAATATACACAGTGAAATATAATTTATGTGTTAAAATTATAAAGGTGCAGAAAGTACTTTTATCGCATCTTTGAGTTCAGTGTATAAATCCTTGTATTCTGGATGTTCCTTGATAAGCACCATAAGACTACCTCGATTTATACCCATTGCTGCACCAATATCTTGTCTTGAAGGGGTATAACAGTAGGGAATGTCTTTGTCTTCACATACCACTGGTAAATGACACATAATTTCTATGGGAAACACATCAGCAGCAAATATAACCAATCTAAAATAAAGAATATTTGCATAATACTTAGATATATGCTTGCAATTCACGAATCATTTAACGAAGCAAAACTCACCCTTTTTCTCCTTTACGAAGGTGTTTTTGTACATCTTTTAAACCATTTCGGAGATATGTTTTATGCTTAGATGCTGCAATAAATAATTTTCTTTGTACAACCATTTCTATGATAATAAATTTTTTACGTCAATAACATGTCTCACATGCCAATTAAATTGTATTATTTAATAAATAAATTACAGTAATGAGAAGAAATAACTCACCTTTTTTTATACATTTGTAGATTTTTTTAGTTAATTTCTTGGATGCCATAGGTTTGGATATAGCATTCACTAACCGTAGTTTCTCCTCGTAACTCATTTCTGATTTCTCATCGGCGACTTCCTCGGTTTTATTTTCGTCAACTTCCATGTCAATTTTCAACTTTTCTTTTTTATTCATTCAATGAATTCAACTTATATATGGAATATATAGGTTATATATATGGAATGCTTACTGCAATGCTTATAAGCCGGATACGAAAAGAAAGAGGTAGGTTGCTGAAGATACTAGAAATGGGCGATACCGATTATAGCTATAATCGATTATTTCTTTTCGATACATAAGCATTTTGTAATCGATTGTTTGACAATTCGATTACGGCGAGAATCGATACTTTTAAACCGATTATTGATTCCTATCGTTCTAACAGAAAGATGGAACTTGATTGGCTACCCAATCATAGGCCGGTATTCATAGTCGGATCTTATATTTATAACGTGTTCGACTGGCTCTGAAGTATAAAGTCCTATCCAAAAGG